ACGACCAAAATGATGAGAGATTCATTTCCTCTATCTAAACACTACATGTTATAATTTGCTTAACCCTTTGAATAGAGTTTCACTTCTTACCCCTGTCAGGAACAACCCCATACTGTGGCAATTTCTTAGAAAGTTCAAAATGGTTAGAATTTTCCTGCTTTCACTTGCATCAATCTTCAAGTATATTTACTGCTTGCAAATTCTGTGTTAGTTCGAGTGCCTTAGATATGACGAAAAGCATTTCTTTCTATATCCCTACACATTATACCCTTTGCATACCCAATTTGACCGGTGAATTCATTTCAACCCGATTGATGATCATTCTTGTGATAAATAAATGAAATCATCTCAAAGCAAGTTCAAGGTGACTTGAGGCAAATGGGAGCTCAAAAGAAAATTCATCAGAAAAGACGCAAAAGGACTCCATTAAATCGAAGTTCTCTCTCTCGGAAAAAGCTCTCTTAAAAAAAAGAGGGAGAAAAGTCTCTCGAAAAGAAAATCTGTCTCTCAAAAAAAAATATGAGAGAAAGAAAGGCTTCGGCAAGAACTGAGTCGATATGTAAGATCATTCTTCAACGAAAAGACCATTTGAAGGTTTATTTGTGGAGCAATTGCTAGAGCTAGATCAATGGTACCAGTAGCATGATTGGATGATCACCAATTTTCATGTTCATAATACCCCGTTTGATGGAAATAGGCCATTCATTTCAAACCTACCCGAATCTACGTTACAACCCTTACTGAAGTCTCTTCAGAATAGGGTACTTGAGTTAACGTAGAGTTTCAAATGCTTATAAATGTTGCTCAAAGAAGTGCGAGCAAGATTTTTCTATCTCATTTTTGCAGCATTCCCGACTTATAAACCCGAAGCAGCTGGTGATATCAATTCTTTCAAAGCTATGGCTCTCATGAGTCCCCATTGTGAGACCTTTGACCAAGCCTGCGTTTCAGTCCTTATAAAGACCTCTCAGATTGGCCAAGTCATACTGATTTTGAGAATATCCGAACCCTTGTCAAGCACGATAAAGAGAGTTTGAGTGATTCTTATATCCGCATCAAAGGCCAGGTCAAAAGGCTTTCATTGAAAGTGAGTGAAAAGTCCTTTCTGATTAAAGGTTTCTCATTTAATGTGATCAAATTGTCAAAAGGACGAAATTGTTGTTCTTATTGATAAATTCCCCAGTGAAGCTTGGTAATGCAGGCAGATTCATGAATTATGTTTTCTTTGCCTACGCGCATGTGTTATTTTAACCTTTTCTCAGGTAAAAACAGGTGCAATGCAATTGGCTCTATCATTTTTATAACACAAGAAGAATTCAGGTACGTCTGCTAATTATTCTTCATTGTTTCTCTTTTCGTGTTCACTCAGTGGAATAGGTAACATATCTCTTTGTGTTGCCCGGTGGAATAGACAGCACACCCATTTCATGTTTGCCCAGTGGAACAGGCAGCATAGTTTCTCATTCTGTGTTCACCCAGTGGAATAGGTGGCACAACTAACCTCATGCTCACCCAATGGAACATGTGACATGATCTTTTTCGTGATTGCCCAGTGGTATAGGCAACACGTCCCTTTTAATTCTTTCTTCATATCATGCGTTATTTCGCTTCTGTAGGAAACTACAGGTAACAGATAGGCAATCATGTACCTTAAGAACCTTACTTCTAGTGGACTAGAAGTTTGCAGATCGAGGGAGTTCACAGCATTATAAAGCTTTCCCTCACTTGGGCGCTTTTTGTGCGATCCGTATGTAAGGCTCTTTTACCGCTCTTCATGAAGTGAGAAGCCTTAGCATAAGTTCCTTATTGTTTGCATATCACGCATCATTGCATTTGAAAAATTGGAATTAAAACCCCCACAAAAAAAGGAAGAAGAAGATCATTCATCATTTTGCATGGTTTAAATTTAGGTTTCAGTCTTTGAGCGAAACCTCTGCGAGCCTCCACTCAAAGAGGGGCAGCTGTTGACACCTAAATTTTAGCTATTTTTTTAGTCATTAATTTTTTCCATAAAAATTAGGGACTAAACTTAATCCCTAGTAAAAAGTATTTAAATCATTTTTCATATAGGATAGTTTATTTTATGCATTATATTTTTTGCTTCTCAAGTATTCTGTGCCGCTGGCCGGCATGTCTAATGTACTAGAAGTTTTGGAGTCGTCGTTCAAGAGAAGTCTTTCGCCGCGGTTGCACGACTTGCACCATCTTCATGAGAGCACATTGAGGACAAAGCAGCATATGGAGATTATGACGTGGTGCATGAATTTTCAGCAACTTTGGGGTCTCGAATCTGGTGGACAGGGAGGAAGATCAGTGAATTTGATTTCCTTTGTATCTCCGTGCAAAAGGGAAACAATATAAAAAATACAAGAGAGGAAAGTGGAATCCGGTCAATATAGGGGCATATATTCTGATCAATATCTTGCATCAATGGGCGTGAACAAAAAGGCCAAAATAATGAAAAGAGCCAGAATATAATATGAGGAAATTTGATTTATTCTCTTTCCTGGAAAGCCTAAGTCTTCCCCAATTATAAAAGGGACCCAAAAGCGAAAGAGCGAAGAGGGGTCCAGAGAGGTATGGAGTGAGGGCTTCGTCAAAAGAAAAGGGTGAGCAGAGAGAGTGAATTGGAGAGAAAAAAAAATATGCTTCACAGTACGTCCAAAAAAGGTGAGAAAAAGTTAGAGGGGAGGGTTGGGTCGAAAAAGAAAGGAGAGAACAGACGTGAGGAAAAGAAAGAGGGTTTTCGATTTCCACTAGCCGAGAACCTTGCATCGGCATATGTTGATCCATCCGCCGCTCGGTCCTTTGCCATCGTCGCTAGGAAACAAGTTCGAGCTACTGCCGGGGTCCTTCGCTTCTGCCATTCATTTTTTTTTAAGGCTGGGAATCGGGCATTGTCACCTCACCCGTGGATCAAGCAATCCTTGGTGTTTCAATTTGATAACTTTGTCAAATTAGGTAACGAATGTTCTTAACTTGTGATATTTGTCGTGCATGATTTTTAGGTAATGATTACAGTTTGGATTACGAGAGAAACTTGCATAAAAAATCCGGGTTTTCCTTCTTGTTCTTGCTCAATCCGAAAATTCGCATTATATTGGTGATCATGTTAAAATTGCAATTTGACTTGCAAGATGTTAATTGGATCATTGTAATTTCGAATCCGTTGATGGTATGGACTTGTGGATGACTATTGTTTGAATCTTTATTCAAAATTAGTGGATGGACGTTTCCCTTGTGGATGAGTTGATCTTATTTGAATTTTTGGTGATTGCAAGAGTTTCATCCGAATTTGCTGATGAGTATAGTACACACGAAATATCTCTAAAGGATTAAGCATTGTCTAAAAAAAAAGACTTAAAAAAAAAACGGTACCTCGCTTAATTTAAAAACTGCGATTTAACTGAATATTCTTTGGAAATCTTGGATGTGTATTACTTGTCAAATTTGGATAGAATTTGAAAATTTCAAAATCTTTTGAATATATCCAAGATATTCAAGATAGCAAAATCTTTTCAAGATGTGACTGGTTAGGAAAATCTCCTAATCCGCAACCGCATACATGGGAATAAGTCTATCTATCAGGCTTTAGATAGAGTTATTTCCATAGCGGGTATTTCGAATTTTTAGGGTCGATCTATCAGGCTTCAGATCGAAACTTAGTTCGAAAGATTTAGCGGTTATAATCTTTCTACTAAAAGATTTGCGACTTGAATTTAAATTCGAAAATACATAAAAAAATACAAAAAAAATTCATAAAAAAAGAAAATCCAAAAAAAATTTGCACCTTTGAACTCTAAGTTAGAATTCTTCAAAATTGCCGAATTGAGCATTTTTCTTGAGATTAGTACCGAAAGAACGTTAGGGTAATCTAGCGTAACCAAGTCCCCGGATTTATAATCTTTGGTTCGTAGAAATAAAATAGTACTTCCGCTATTTTATTTAGGTTTTTAATTAATCTACCTTAAATGATTAGTGGCAGCTCCCATTGAAAATATTTGCATGCTCATAATTGGACCTAAGTTGCGAATTGGTAGAGTTTGGGAGAACTCGAGTTAGGTTAGTTAATTTAATTGATCTAGTAATCCATTAGTCTAAGATTGGAAAACCTGATTTTTAAGTCTCCATAGGGCTTAATGGGAGATGCTGTCGCCCTCTGCTTCAATGGCGAGGGTCAAGCCAGGGCTGCTGGCCCTCGTCAGTGAAGTAGGGTGCCCGCCCAATCCAACCCTCAATATGTACTTTTTTTTAAATTTTAATTTCAGCTTTTTTTATGTTAATCCTGTTTTCTTTTTCTTTAAATTTTTTATCCTTTTTCTTTTTTCTTGTCGAATTTTCAATTTTTTTCCAAAGTAGCGCCTACTTGGTGTCACATCAGTGCCACATGTATTCAAAACATAAAAAAATTCACGTAGCATTTTCTATTAAACAAATTGTATGGAATTAATGTAATGATTTGATTATACCAATTTGATAAGTTTTAGGATTTAATTGTATTTTTTAAAATTTTTTAGGATTTGTTTGCATTTCTGATACAAGTTTTGGAATTTATGTTGTACTTATTCCCAAAAAAATCCTTACTAAAATATGTTCACTCTACTCGAAGGATGTTAAGTTACTTAACATTTTGATCTAAAGAAATCGCACCCTATTCTGCATTTGATTTTTTCTTTAATTCCTGATGTTGGTACACATTCAACTAAAAGAATCCAAGGAAACTTCAAAAACCTTGGTGCCACGTTACGCCAATTGTGCTCCAGCACCTTTTGAGCTTATCACATTTTCTAACATCAATGCTAACAATTCTACATGACAAGCCAAATTAGTTGGCATTATTCTGCGAAGAATTGTAACAAGAAATTGTAATAGCTACAACAAATATCATGATCTTGTTATCTTTTAAGCCATTCTTATGGATTGGATGTGCAGCTGTAGGCCATCTCTTCTGCGTTGGAATTGCAAATGACAGTATTTCCCAAGTGCTTTCGAGTATCTAATGAACCATTCCAAAAATAGATAATGGAATTAACTAAGATAAATAAAGTAAAGGAGACGGCTTACTCCACGGGCTACAACAGAAAGACCAAAATATCTCAATAAGTGAAGCATGTAGGACCAACTAGTTCTTCCAATTTGATGTCCTCAGATGCGCTCAACCCAATCTAGCTATGCGCGCTGATATCGTTCGAGAAACTTGTTGCATGCTTGGACGATGCCTTGGTCTGGGACTTAAGCACGAAAATGCCATCTTGGTCATGAAAGCCACTTCCCCTAGCACATTACCTTCTGGGTACGGAATTCTTTGATCTAAAACTTCTTTCAGTGGCGCAGAAGCTGTTGAATTGCTTGATGATGATGAAAACGACGACGCAAGAGAAGATATGAGATTGCCTGGATGGCTTCCCATTAGTACTTCCAATGTCATCACTCCGAAGCTATAAACATCGCATTTTTCATTCACTTCCATTGTATATGCGAGTTCTACATAGAGAAAAAAGCAAATTTTTTCTAGCTTTTAGACAATATCTATACTTCGTAAATCTAAACTGATTTTGAGTAATCAAATTTAGAGAATGAAGTGTAAATCAATACATTCTTTAGTTTCCAATGGGATTTAACATACTTTATTTCGTTAGGAAAAAGTTTCACTTTTTTAATTGGTAGCCTACATCTCAAATAATCTTTAATCGAACCTTCAAATTTCACAAATAGCTTTGGACTTGGTGTTAAGTATTTAGAAGTCTAAATGAAGGTAGTTAAGGATGAGGATCTTGTATGTTCATTTTCCTATCAATAAAAATGAAGTGGGGTGCAATTTTGAAGAAACCAACTTACCTGGAGCTGCATATCCAAAGGTGCCTGCAAAGGAAGTCCAATTGGATGAACAAGGTTTTAGAACTTTAGCCGTGCCAAAATCAGAGACGTGAGCTTCGTATTCTTCATCCAGTAAAATGTTCTTACTCGATACGTCTCGATGAATCATAGGAGGAGAGCATTCATGGTGCATGTAGGACAAAGCATGTGCCACACCTTTAACAACATTCACTCTCTTATTCCAGTCAAATGTTGTTATCCTCTCTTCATTGTTTAGTAAATCCTTCAAGCTGCCACATTCCAAGAACTCGTACACCAAAAACGAATGTTGAGAACTCGAGCAAAAGCCATAGAGCTTGACAATATTTCGATGCCGAGTTCCGGTCAAAGTATGAATCTCCCTTTCAAATGCTTTTCTACCGGCCATTTCCACGTCCACAGCTTCCTTAAATTTCTTTACAGCAACAATCTCACCTGTTTGCAAGTGGGCCTTGTATACACTCCCATGTCCTCCCACACCGATGCAATATTTGGCATCAAACTCCTCCGTGGCTTCAATAATGCTCTCATAAACCATTCTTCCATCAAAGCTCCATACTGCCCATAGGTTTTCATTGCTTCCGTCAGCCGAACTAGCCTTTGTATTTCTTACTCTTCGGCATCCAATACTTGAAGCTCCCACAACAAGAAGCAAAGAAAGTAGGCAACCCAAAGTAGGAATCAAAACTAGCAGGAACTTTTTGTTTTTGTTTTTGCCTTTCGACGTTGCTGTTGTACAGGAGCTGAGACCAGCAATAACTCCACACAAGCCTTTGTTCTCTCTCACAACTAAAATTGTAGTGTTATGAAAGGCTGGAATGTTTGGTAAAGGACCCTCTAACTCATTAAACGATATGTCGATGGATGTCAAGCTTGTCATATATTGAAAGGTCGACATAATTGAACCCGATAGCTGATTGTGTGAGAGATTGAGTATTTCTAATCTGTGCAATAGCTCAAGTTGTCTTGGTATTTCTCCCGTGAGCAAATTTTGACTCAGATCGAGATGTTGAAGAGAATGAAGATTCCCGGTCTCCATGGGAATACTCTTTTCTAGATTATTCCTGCTTAAATTTAAGAACAAAAGGTTGGAGCCCTCCCCAAGTTGGGTAGGAATTGAGCCACGCAAGTTGTTTCCTGCAATGTTGAGTTTCTGCAAATTGGACAATGCTCCAAGTTCTTGAGGGATGTGGCCTGCAAGAAGGTTGCAGTCCAACGAAAGCTCTTGCAGCAACTTCAATTTTCCCAGGTCTTTAGGAATTTCCCCAACAATATAATTTGACGAGAGGTCAAGTCTCTGCAATTGAGTCATGTTTCCAAGATGAGGTGGTATGGCACCGGAGATTTTATTGTTGGAGATCATCAAGCTCGTCAAATTTCTACATTGACCCAATGTCGGTGGTAGCTCACCGTAAAGTTCGTTGTTGCTCAACTCAAGGTAATTTAAGGAGGGGTACACACCAAGAGTATCGGTTATATCTCCCTTCAGCGAGTTTTTTTGAAGCCTAACTCTATACAAACTTGAACAATTTTTCAGGCTTCTTGGGATGGATCCAGTGAAATGATTGTCTGATGCACCAAAATACACAAGAGCTTGGCTACTGCATATTTCTGGTGGCAATTGGCCAACAAAGTCGTTATAAGCTAGCTGGAGGTTTGTGAGGGATGTGAGATTATTCATCTCGGTGGGAAGAAAGCCTGTCAACTCATTTTCGAAAAGGGAAAGAACACTTAGATTGCTTAACTTACCTATGGAGGAGGGGATAGGACCTGACAATGAGTTATTGAAAAGGCTAAGGTCATATAGATTGGTCAGGTTGCCTATGGATGATGGGATATGACCTGTTAAATCATTAGATAGCAGTTGGAAATTTACGAGGGTTCTCATTCCTCCAACTTCCGAAGGTATGGGACCAGAAAGTTGGTTTTCATAGAGGTAAAGTTGTACCAAAGTACTCAGATTTCCTAGAGTTGCAGGGATGGATCCAATGAGATGATTCTCTGATAAATCAATTGTATATACAGACCCCAACATTCCTATTTCCTTTGGAATGGGCCCACTGAGTTGATTATTGTCAAGTACAATCGACTCCAAGCTGCTCATGTTTCCAATGAAAGAAGGAATTGGACCGGCAAAATTATTATGCGAAAGCTTGAGATTTTTTAAAGAACGCAACAATCCAAGTTGAGTTGGAATGTTTCCCGAAAGTTTGTTTTGAGAAAAGTCAATACCAAGAAGCTTGGGAAGATCGCCAATGCTCGGAGGGATATTCCCGAAGAGCTGGTTGTCGGGAAGCCTAAGAATGACCAAATTGGGCAAATGAGAGAAATTGAGACGCTGAATGGTACCGCGTATGGCAGAACTTGGAAGCTCCAAGCGGGTGACACTCCCGAAAGAATCACAATTGATTCCACGCCATGAACGAGGACTGCTTCCCTTCCACGAAGACAAAGCAGAGCGGCTCTCGTTGTCTAGCTTAGACTTCCATTTTAGGAGTGCCTCCACTTCCTCATTTCTCGTTTGGTTACTAGCACCAGCAGGGGCCACTTGAGAAGAGCTTTGAGATGAAGCAAGACAAGGCATTTCTTGCATGAGCATGAGAAGGACACGAGCGAGGAACAACATTGAGAGATGTTTTTTCTTGTAAGCCATGACAGGTTTAGGTTATTCCGGGTGGGCTTTTCTTCGTTTCTAGGCGAATATGTGTTGAAATGGACCAAGTACAACCAACGTATTTATAGGAAAAATTGGACCATCAAGTCAACAACCAAGTCAATAATCACTTCTTCCCGGTGAATGAGATAAAATTTCAAATTTTTTTTAGGGAAAACTACCCAAAACTCTTCTGAATTTGGGCGTAATACAAGTTTGCCCATAAACTTTTAATTGTTACGCAACTATCTTCTGAACTTTCGTTTTGTTATAACCATTAACCCTCCTCCGTTATATTTGCCGAGGCAATTCTTTGGAAGGACACCATGTATGTAAGCAAAAATTACGGAGGCACTTGTTTCAAAAAGTTGCAGATAAACATCCCTTGTCAATGAGAAGGCGTGTCCAATGTTTTTTTTGGTATATTTTCAATTAACACTGTCAGAAAAAACCTTCGTTGAAATTATCAACTATAATATGATCGTCAGTCTCCTTCCGTTTCAGAATTCATGAATTAGAAAAATGATTGAAGGCAAAGGTCATAGTCAACACGCCAATTCAACTATAATATGATGTTTGACCCAAAAAAAAAAAACTATAATATGATGTTGCACAGGCCATGTGCAATCTCTATTTTGGACCCACGTTGTCATTCTTTTCTAGCCTTCAGTGACGGGATCCTTTGCTTGACTTCACGTGATATAACATATAAAATATAAGATCTAACTGTCCAAAAAATCCTAAATTTATTATACAGTAGCAAATTTAGCCTTAAATATTTCAATTATGCCAATATATTCTTAAAACTTTTGTCGATTTGCCAATTTAGTCCTAAAACTTTTAATAGTTTCAATTTAGTCATTAACCCTTTGATGGCTTGGCAATTTAATCCTTCTGATCAATTTAGTCCTAAACATTAACTTATTATAAATAAAAAAATGATCAAAACCTCAGTAATATTACAAATCAAAGGCTACTACATGCTTGAGTGAGAGTGGTGTGAGTGAATTAGCTACCATTGCGCTCATGGTAATGTTTGGTTGAAGGTGAATGAAATCCCACGTCAAAGAAATGAGATCAAAGTGGAATATAAGCCTAATTCTGCGGTTCAAAAAATTGGATCGTTTGAACTGCATTTGATCGTCCGGATTTGGATTAGAATATGATAGGATAAAGTAGGACTAGAAGTCCTTCTAATATCCTCCAGATTGTAAAAAATCACATCTTATGTTCAGTGCCACAGTAAGATATGTTCTATTAATTTTTTTTTGAGGATTGATAATGTTCTTATCCTTATTTTAGTAAAAATTAAAATAATATTTTAAAAAAATGATCTCATCAGAATTATCTCTGATTATGCATTTAATAATAAGAGTCATCTGGTGTTATATGTGTATGACATACGGAAATGTAATATATAAATATATATTTTCTTCCACTATAAACATTATGAAATGATGGTCTATAAGCCTTGCGAAATTATGTTTTTCTATTTGCTAGAACTTTTTTGCCGATTTCCTAGTATTCATGAATATGTAAAATTGACAAGTAATTTCTTAATAATCCTGTAATATTATTTATTCATCAAATATGAGCTATCATTTTATAAATAGTTTTTTTTTAATAATCGTCTAACATCATTTATTTGTGAAAATATTTTTATATTGTGTATCTATATATTATTCAACTCCCTTTCACAATTATACTAATTGCAAAGTGATGAGAGTTATCACCGATTATGCATTTAGTCATACGGGTCATCAAGTTTTCATTCATGTTTATTAATCAAATATGCTCAATTATGTAACATGACCCTTTAACGTTATACAATAAGTTATTTTGTAAAGACAGGTTCTTTTGTTTTATCTGATAGCTTTTATTTTATTCATCTCACAATATAAAAAAATCGTGCATAACCAAAAGTTTCTATAAATCCTCTAATGTCGTGTCTTTATTTCATATAAAGTATCATGTCATATAACTTATTTTTTATCCTCTAACATCCTATATTTATGGAACATGCACTATCACGTTATAAAACCCTTCTAAGATAGCTGTTTTCTTCAATAGATTGTTTGTGTTAGCAGATAATTTATTATTAATTTTCTAATTTACATTTGTACATAAAATATGTGTTATGATCTAATTTAGATAATTTCATACAGCTTGTATGTTTAATATGGGGCTATCATGTCATGCATTATTTTCTTGAAATTTTAATATAATTTATTTGTGAAATAGGCAAAATATGCTTTTTCAAATGGGTATCATATGTCATTGGTGATAAGAATGATACCGAATGTAGGACTTTATACTCATAAACTATAAATAATACCACCCGCCTGGGTGGCGCTGCTGGAAAGGACACTCTTCCTCTCGCAAAAGGTTAAGTGTTCGAATCCCGGGCGCCGCAAGGTGACTTAACCGGTGCACGTGTGTGGTGGCTAGCACGTGTCGCCCCCAGGGTTTACCTCCCGGTTGTCGGCCGTGCGGGGGTTCCCTGGGTTACCAAAAAAAAAACTATAAAATAATTGGAATTATATCATATGTAAGGTTTTGATAATAAGAGTCGTGAAAGAGTCGCGAATAATTATGGATTTAATATAATCCTGCAACATTACCCTCTTTACATATATTTTTTCGTTCCATAAACTTTTCCTAATAGTGGATTTTTTTTTATTATTTGGGGTGGGATTTGTCCGTTTCTAGGTGCACATTTGTTGGAGTGGACCAAGTTCAACCAACTTATGTGTGGAAAAAATTGAGACCATCAAGTCAACAACCAAGTCAATAACCGCGGTGACATTCCCTCCTAGCTGCAAAAGGCCTCGGTTCCTTTGGAAAAGCTTGTAATATCCGAATGCCCCACCTTGATGGGACCCAAAAGAGGCCGCTTAAGTTGATATGAATTAAAGTCATCTTTTCCGATTACTTTAAATATTTTATTTAAATGCTTGACTCATATAGATTGGACGGTATCATATAAATAGTATTGGAGTACGATCCTCAAGCCCCGCAGGCCGGGCTAGTGGTTCTTTCCACATAGTTGTCGGAATAAATTATTATATTATCTTGAAAGTGTCGATACGGTAAAATAGTTGTAAAAGGATTTTCAAAAGACAAGATCCAAATTAAGAAAAATACAAACAAATCTGTCTCCTTTGAAGAAGACCTGAGAGAAGTCAATTCTTCAGAGCTAGCGATTCCACTTGGAAAGAGAGTGATGGATCACTTCTTCGAGGTGAGATAGAGCAAAGTTCAAATTTCTTTTTAGAGAAAATTACACAAAATTCTCAAATTTTGGGGGTAGTATACGTTTACCGGAAAACTTTGAACTATTATGCATTTGTCTCTTGAATTTTCATTTTCTTACAAGTGTGAACCCTCTATAAAGTTTTCCGTTAATATGTGCAACGCACATTGTACATCTAATATGTGTGGCCCTTTATTTGCAAAAACTTATTAGTGTTTTTTGTAGAGCAAGGCCCATTGTCTCTAATACGTAAGTCAATCCCGCTAATGCGAAAAGTTAATATTACTGCATTAGTAAATAATCAATACGTTGCCAAAAAAGAATGAAATTCAAGAAACGCACTGTGAAGTCCTATTTTTTTTTTTCAGAAATATTGATGAGTGCCTGGAGCTATTTTCTCTCTGTTTTTATGTAGAGATCGTTATCTTAAATATAGAAGCTATCATCAAGAAAAATAATTCTGCGGTGAGGTGTTATAGGCGCAATTGGGTCAATCTGACCCTATCATAAAGTGATTACTGTGTTATGTTCTTGGTTAGAAATGTATTTTTTTGTGCATTAGGTAGTAAAGAAGAGATCTGCCAGGGGTGGAAGATGGGATGGAAGAGAAAGGCACACAACAGTTCACGTCCCACTTGAAGAGTGATTTTGGAGAAGATGTCTCCACTCGGTGAAACACGGCATTGAAGAAGACTGGACAAATTCCCAACGTGGACAGACACCTAGCCGTGATTGACGCAGTATTTGTGGACCAGTCATGGGTGCGATCTGGCGTGTGACCAGTGGCATCGTGACCCGGATTTTGTGGAAGGGTGCTTTGAACGTGACCAAAGGGAAGGCTTGGGTCGTGCATGCTCGTGTCGGAATGTGCCGTGTGTGGCTTGGCCTGTTGGATTCAGTTCGCCATCGTGTTTGCTTTTTGCTTAATGGTTTGTGGCCTGGTCAAGTCAAGGCGAGGTGCTTGCCTACAACACTGGGCCGAAAATTTGGTGGCCGAAAACCTACCCCAAGACACCTACCAAGGGGGTGATACGGCTAATCGAACCTGATGTGACGAAAGAGAGAGTGACCCAAGAGTTCACATCCCACTTGAATCGATGATATCTATGACGATAAATGATAGTCGGTTTGTCCGATTACTTCATATATTTCATTTGGGGCTTGAGCCACGTGAATTGACCTGGATCGTACTCCATCTCTCGTCTAAGCAAGGCGTTACATGTGAAATGCAAGATGCAGATGGGACTTGACTAGTAAACCAACGACTATCAACAAAGGAAGATACTTCTTGTGAATTGTGATCCACATGTCTCGCATCACAACTTGTAACATCGTATATCTTATATGCGTGGCCCTGTATGCAAAGACTCATTAGTCTTCTTTAGAGCAAGGACCGAGATGTAATAACAACACTGAAAACTTAACATTGGTTAAAGAAAGTTCCCCTCAAAGTTTGTATGAGATCCGATATGATGGAAGAGAGAGTGACCCAAGAATTCACATCCCACTCAAAACAATAGCGATTTTGGAGAAGATTCCTCCACTCCGCAAAACATGGTGTAGAAAAATTGATACCCATGACTATTACTTCATATTTCATTTGGGGCTTGACCCACATCAGTAGAGCTAGATCATACTTCATCTCACATCTAAGCAAGACGTTATATGTGAAATGTGAGATGCAGATAGGACCATGCCGAACGTATAACGACAAGTAAGAGGAACGAGCAAAATGGAAAAAGTAAGAGATCAATTAAGGAGTGTCCAATTCTACACTGTGAAATATCGGGTTAGTTAATATTTTTGTACGCAG